CATGCACCGAAAGGTTGCTAATTCCATTCCCGGTCAGGGCACGTGCGCTAGGTTCCAGGCTCGATCCCCAGTAGGGGGCATGCAGGGGGCAGCCAATCGATGTTTCACTCTCGCATCGATGCTTCTCTCTCTCCCTCTCCCCTCCTCTCTCTCTGAAAATCAATACAAAAATCTTAAAAACAAAAAACTTCTCTTCTTCAAACCAAACAGAACAAGCAAGACCATCCCCGTGTCTCCTCCCCGACAGGCAGATCTTAGAAGCGTGGCCTCTCCCCACGGTTCGCACTCACCTCTCGCTCACCCCTCAAACTGCCCGGTTCCACCCCAACGCACCCTGCGCCTGCTCACAGAATCTACCCACCGAAGTCCCTGCCAGGGGGGCGCTCGTGCCGCAGGAAGAAACGCACGTCGCTCCTCTGACTCCCAAACCTCTGCAGGACGTCGAACATCCGCTCGTTATCTGCGACGGGGCGTTCTGGAAGAAAGACAAACATAGCATGTCATCCTCCTTCATGCACAGTATACACTGGGGGTGTAGGAAATACACGGCATCTTAGGTCATCTGTTTCCATTAAAGGCCCCTTAGAAAACGCAGTATCACGGAATTCCCACACCCGGGTGGAGATCTGGAAAGAGGCCTGTGCCTGGGCCCCTGGAAGGAGCCGGGCCGACCTCACTCCGTGGGCCCCTCACCAGCCATCAGCCTGCCACCTGGCCAGCCCCCGGGGTTCAAAGGTCCCGTCACCTCCGACAAGGGATGGTCTGAGGTCCCTTCTAACACCAACGGTTCTAGGATTCTCTAAACACATAAACCAAACATTTCACAAACAACTTTCTAAATAGCCTAGTCTTACTCTCTATTAGACTTTTTAAATTATCATTTTAAAAACTGTTAAAAAATGACATGTATCCATTGCCAGATAACAGGCTATTCACTGCACTGAAAATACATCCACTTGGCCACTCCCGTGAAACTGCCACTTGTCAGAACTTTTCTAGAGACAGAAAGAAGGGCTCAGCTAAACACCCTCATCGATGGGAACTTCAGGAGAAACCAGGTACCTTGAGCTCCCCTCAAAAAATCTCCCAGCCCTGACTCATGTGCCATCCTATGCCCAAAGGGCTGCGGGTTCGAGTCCCAGTCAGGGCGCATGCCCAGTTTGTGGGTTCCATGCCAGTCGGGATGCATGCGGAGGCAACTGATCGATATTTCTCGATTGCCAGTATCGTTTTTAATAGAAGACGGTTGAAACAGCCTAAGAAAACTCAATGCACTTGTCAGTCACCAGAGGCAGTACCTAAGGAAACAGCACGGGCAGAGAATGCAGCAGCCAGGCATGCAGCAGCCCATTTCGCGAGCTAACCCTGAGCTTCATGGGCCTGGTTGCAATAAAGGTCTGTTCTGGTCCTATTCCCAGTGACAGAGCGTACTGAGCCGACACAGACATCCCTCTTCTGCAAACCACAGAAATTCTACTAAGATCCCCCTGGAAGGGAACACCATAGATGAGTAAAAACCCATCGATAGAAAGTGAGTAGCCCTCCACCTCCTCACCACACACACACACACACACACACACACACACTATTCCAAAGGAAATAAAATCCCCCGATTCCAGAAGCAAAGAAAGAACTCAAAGGCAGTGAGGCAACTCCCATCCCTGCTGGGTAGGACCATTTTAAAGGTCATGAACCTTCCTGTAGGTCTGGGAGCCGAGGCCCTGCTGGCCTGTGATAACAAGAGCAGGCCCGGGCCTGCACGTGCTGAAATGCACGTCACAGGTTCTCAAGGGCCCCTGCCCGCCCCCCCCCCCCCCCCCGGGGGGCCAAATTTTTTTGGTCTCGGCCCTCAGCCTCCGTGATGTGAATGTGCCCTGTGCACGGATACATCCCAGCACCCTCTCCTCCTGCAGATGGAGCAGGTCCACCCATCACTGCGGTTACCACGCCGCGTTCTAAGCATCTGCTGAACCTGCTTCTACCTGAAGGCAGGAAACTTATCTGTCTCCCTCCCAATCGGTCCCAGGCCTCTAACAGGAATCTAAGAAATGCTCTCTACACAACTGAGAGGGCAGCAAGGAACTGGAGATGGCAAATCAAAGCTGCTCGTTTTAAAAAGACTGTCAGCCAAAGAAAATAAGAAGCTTGAGAAGCCAACAAAATCAAAGTAATATACTTGCTATTTGTTAAATAGGACACTTTGGACAATTTATAGCAAAAAGGGGGGGTGTTTAAAACATCATAGCTATTACTTACTGAGAGCTAATACTAAGTGCACCGAGGGCTATGCGAAGCCCCCAGCATGTATTATCTCCTGGAATCTCACTCAATCCTATGGGATAGGTTCAATTATCATCCCAATTCTGTAGATAAAACACAGAGATTAGGACCCGGCCTTCAATCACAAAGCTGGTAAATGACAGAGACAGAATCTCAATACCCAAGACTTGGTTCTTAATCACACCTTACAAACAACCCTCAAATCAATTATGAGTTCACTGCAACCAATCCAAATCCCAACAGAAGGCTTCATGGAGCCTTTCAAGGTAATTCTAAAATATATCTGAAAAAGGGACTATACAAGCACAGCTCAGATATTTTTTTTAAAAAGCAGAAGAATGAAATAAGCATTTGCCTTACAGATACCCAACAAATGAGAAAACTATAGTAATTAAAACTGGTTCTGTCCCGCCCTGGCCAGCGTGGCTCAGTTGGTTGGGCGTTGTCCCTGCACCGAAAGGTTGCCGGTTCAATTCCCAGTCAGGGCACATGCCCGGGTTGAGGGCTCCATTGCTGGGAGGGGGCGTGCAGGAGGCAGACAATTCATGTTTCACTCTCACATCAATGTTTCTCTCTCTCTCCATCTCCCTTCCTCTGTCTCTAAAAATTAATTTTAAAAAATCTTTATAAGACAAACAAAAGCTGGTCCTGTCCTAAAAAGAAGAAAAAATGAAAGGAACGGGCTAAAGCTTACAGAAACACCCCTTCCTAGGAGACACGACATAGCACAGGAAGTGATGTCGTGACAGCAGGGAAAAAACTGTTCAGTGAGGCACTTAAGAAGATTCACTGTCCATCTGGGGAAAAAGTTAAATCCCTAATTCACACCAGGCACAAAAATTAATGAGGCGAGGGAGGGGTGGGGGAGAGGAAGGAAGGAAAAGATCTTAAAACTTCTGGCATGAAATAACAGAAGAATATGTTTACGGTCTTGGAGTAAGGAAAGAATTTTCCCATAAAGGGGGTAACTTGGCCTGAGGTCTACAATAGAATGTTTTTTCGGTTCGTCTTTGTTTTGAATGCCTACAAAGCAAGAGGGAAAAGGCAGGCGCCAAAGGAAACCTACGGAGAAACCCAGTTTTTAAAAATGGAAACCCAAACGGCTAATCAATTTTCCAAATGGGCAGTATCAGCTTAGCAAAGATTAATATATTATTCTAGCAACTGGTGATGAGGATGCTTTTAGAAAAAGCTGGTAGGACGGTGAACTTATGTAGCCTGTGTTGAGGGGAATCTGGCAATACGTTAAATTTTAAATGCGTGACCCCTCAACCAGGCAATCCCATCTCGTTATCTGCTCTACAGAAATGCTTGCACGTAACCCAGAGGCTCCTAAAAGGGTTTTACTGCAGCATTTATAAAAACAAGAGCAGGATTCATGTAAATGTTTATGAATAAAGAAATGGTTAAATCAACCGTAGTTTATGCATACTGGGAAAGATTATGTGATTAATAGAAATAATGCTGTAAATGTACATATCTTAAAATACCTCCAAGCTCTGTTGGAAGGTAAAATAGTAAAGGGCAGGGTATTGATACATATAAAGCAAAAATAGAGAAAGACATAACCCACTAAACTATTTCTATAGCTACGTACAAATGCAGAGAAGAAGTCTGAAAAGCAATCGGCTAAAGTCATAAGCAATTACACCAAGTGATCAGGGGATGGACTTGGGGGAGACATCTCCGTTCTATTGATATTATTTCCCCTCTTATAAAAAGAACATATTCAGATGCTACCCACCTTTTTTCATTTAAAACGTTAGAAAGAAAAGAATCCTTAATCATCATCACATAATATGGGTTAGTGACCTCAAGTGAGCAGAAGTGGAGAAGAAAGGGAGGCAGCGGAATCCAGTGTTCCAGGAAGAGAATGAGACTTTCATTCTCCCCCATGAAAGTCAGGAGGAGGCAGGCACACCTTCAGGCAGAACCTGAGGCGCGTGCAGAAGCGGGAAACGGAGGGATCTGGTGGGCGGTTGCAGTCACCTCGGGGAAGTGTAAGGCAGGGTGAAGGGAGCTCATGTACTCATTCAGTGAGCACTGACTGAGCACAAGTACCTACTACGTGCCAGGCACTCTCCTCGCACTGCAGCAGCAACGAGCAGGGAAGCAGATCTCTTCTCTCAGGGAGTCTACACGCTAGTGCAAGTGTTTGGGGTGACAGGGATCAAAAAGGCAATAAATAAACACACACACACACAGAGGATTAAACCAGGATGACATCATAGAGAACTTCCTGGCTACCTTCGCAAGATGCTCAGGCAAAGCCTCTCCGAGGAGGGAACATTTTAACTGAAACCCCAAGGACCGGAGGGAGCAGCACTGACAGGGAGGGAAACAAGCCAGGTCGTGGGAACAGCTAGTGCCCTGGCTCTGAGGCGGGCAAGAGCCCAGTGTGGTTCACTCGTGAATATAAAAAAGCTGCGGAGGGGCAAGGAGGGAACAGGACCAGATGACAACACAGACAGCAAGCCTCTAAGGTCCACAATCCGGGAAAGAGTTTGGATTTTATTCAAGTAGAAGAGAAAGCTCTACGGGGTGTCAATACGAAAGTCCAACCATCAGATTCTCATTTAAAGGGATCACTTGGGTTTCTTTATGCAAACGGTCTAGTCTAGCTCTTAGATGAAGGTTAAAAAAATAAGCGATTCATGGAGCGTGAAGACCTTCCAGAACACCCAAGGGTGGGAAAGGCAACACAGACAGGTACGAGGACGTGCGGGGGAACCGGGCGCTCAGCTGAAGTCGGGTTTCGTGGCCGGTGTGAACCCATGAGCACAGTGTGTCACCTGCACCCCCGGCGGAGAAAGGGGGAACAGCGGAGCTCACCAGGCCATGCAGGAACCAGCAGAACTCGGGAAAAATTCCTCCCAGGTCGACACACTCCTATGGGGCCAAAGGAAACCAGGCCGCCCCACTTCCGAGCTGCCAAGAACTGTGCTGAGGGACTGACTCCAAGGCTTCATGTGAGGCCTGTGATTTCACCAGTGCCTCCTGCCATCACAGTAATCAGCACCGAGCAGCTCTCCCCAAAGCCTACACAAGCTCAGAGGGCAAACAATCAGGAGGCCGCGCGTTCCTCACCAAGCAAAGCCTCAGCACGCAAACCCTCGGCCAGTGATGGCGAACCTGTGACACGCGTGTCAGAGGGGACGCGCGAACTCATTTTTTTGGTTGATTTTTCTTTGTTAGATGGCATTTAAATAGATAAAATAAATATCAAAAATGTACGTCTTTGTTTTACTATGGCTGCAAAGATAAAAAAATTTCTAGATGTGACACGGCACCAGAGTGAAGTTAGGGTTTTTCAAAATGCTGACACGCCGAGCTCAAAAGGTTCGCCATCACTGGCCTAGGAGCACACCAGCCGCTCCCACTGGTGTGTCAGCTGCCTGCCCTATCACCTTTCCTACTGTGATGTCCTCACTGTGTAGCAGAAAGAGAACAGAAGGACTTCCTATGTCACCGCGAAGCTGGAGGGGACGCTGTCTCCTGGTGGACATGCTGTTCTAGAGCCTCCCCGCCACACCCAGGAACGGGACGGTAAGAGACGCGGGACCAGGCACAGGCTGCGCGCTCCCACCTGAGCCGCACCACACTTCGGCCAAGTGGCAGTCGCTCTCGCCGGGCTCCTTGCACAGGTCCACCACATCCCGGCATATTGTTTCTGGGGTCACGGGGACTTCGGTAAAGTGCTGCTCGTTGTTGCTGAGGTACACGGTCAGAAACATCTGGAAACAAAGAGAAAGCACGGGAGTTATCGGGCTGCCCACACTGGCCGGGTTCGCTTTGTGTTCACCTTCGCTTCCCGTCCCCAAACAGGCCCAGGGGCAAATGTTCAACAGGACAATCTGGCTCACCCTGGCAGGGAGTGAGGGGTGGGGGTGGGGGTGGGGGTTCTGGAGCCCTGCCCACTGGGTTCCTGCCCCCTCCTGGGTTCCTGCCCCCTCCGGAGCAGAGCCTGCAGCAGCCTGGGGAGCCCTGGGGGACAGTCACACCAGTTCACACGAAAGGTGAAATTAAACCATCTCTGACATTTTACTTATGGGATTTGTCTACCAAATCCTTATACAGTTCTTAGCATGTGCCCGGCGCACACTACCCACCAATCTTCTCACCAATCCTGTAAAGGTGATGAGGGATATCACACATACACTCATGCACAGATACATAAGAACATAAGACGGCTACATAGGAACATAGGATGTGTTGCTTCTGAAGGCAAGATGGAAACAGGACAGACCTTGGAGGGCAATCTAATGTTTACACCAAGCGCACACATTCCCTACTCAACAATTTAAACCTAAAATGTTTAAGCAAGTTAAATACCTACTTCAAAGCATGTCCTCACCAACCAGGTGTAAGCAGAAATGACCAGCTGTTATGCTACAATGTTTCTGACCTTGCAGACAAACATTCAGGGCAGCAGAGGATTTAAATTTAAAACTCATTAACAATCTTTTTCCCAGTAAAAATAGACATTGCATCTTAAAAAACGATGCTACTAAAGAATGCAAGTTTTCACACCTATTAAATTACCAAAAAGAAAAAGAAAAAGGAAGAAAAATGCTGTTAATTCCCAGTGCTGCAGAAGCAAATTATCGATGGCAATGCCGGTCAGTAAACCCCTATGGTTCATTCAACTCAGTGGGCACCTACTATGTGCATACAACTCAATGAGCACCTACTCAGCGCAAAATCAGTATGCATCAGGAATAGAAAAACAAACCATTTGAAAGAGTAACCCCACTGTGACACTTCATCCTGTGAAAATAATTCCCATCAAAGAGAGAGCATGCAAAGGCTCTGGGCCATGAGCCTGATGGACCAGTACAGTACGTTATGCAAAAATAATTAGTGAGACTCTACGAGATATTGGGGGAATTTGGATTTTAAGGCTGTAAACAGCAGAATGAGTAACATCTGCACTGTGATCGCGACACGAGACCATCATACAACAGCCACACGACGCCCCTTCCAGCTCCAACTGCCCCACCTGTCACCCCCGAACTGAGAACACTACACTCGGCCCCTCGTTGTAAAGAAGGCAGCGTCCCATTAGGGATGATGGTGGAAACTGGCTGAGACAACAGACTGGGTGCCTCAAGGATTTGGCCAGAGTGAGAGCAGAAGACATGCACAAGAGAAGGGGGGGGGGGGGTTGGCACAGGGGCCGGGAGGAACTGGCTCATCCCTGGGAGCTTTCTGGCTCCTCCTTGCAGTAAAACCATCTTTTCTTAAGGGAATCCAAGTCTCTACTTCTTACAGCCAAAGCTCTTAATCCCCATAAACGTGTATAACATAGAAAGTAACCCAGAGCCCTAGCCGGTTTGGCTCAGTGGATAGAGCATCGGCCTGTAGATTGAAGGGTCCTGGGTTCGATTCCAGTCAAGGGCACATGCCCAGGTTGCAGGCTCCATCCCCAGTAGGGGGTGTGCAGGAGACAGCCAGTCCATGATTCACTCTCATCATTGATGTTTCTATCCCTCTCTCACTCTCCCTTCCTCTCTGAAATTAATAAAAATTTATTTTAAAAGCCGAAACCGGTTTGGCTCAGTGGATAGAGCGTCGGTCTGTGGACTGAAGGGTCCCAGGTTCGATTCCGGTCAAGGGCATGTACCTGGGTTGCGGGCACATCCCCAGTAGGAGATGTGCAGGAGGCAGCTGATCGATGTTTCTCTCTCATCGATGTTTCTGGCTCTCTATCTCTCTCTCTTCCTCTCTGTAAAAAATCAATAAAATATACTTTAAAAAAAAAATTTATTTTAAAAAAGTAACCTAGAAAACATAGAAGGTCACCCATTACAACTAGAAGGCAATCCAGAAAAGTCAAAGGTGGATTCTGTTGAAACAATAAATAAAACGAAAGAAAAACAGCTACAGTTCCCATATGAGGTCAGAGCCCTCCCAGCTAATGACACCAGGTTTGCACATTCTGATACACAGCTCGAGGCCTGCACAGAGATACACGGTTCTCGGCCTCAACTTGGCCAACAAGCAGCACTTTGAAACTGTTACACAAAAATTGCAAAGTATTAGATAAATAACAAAGCTTAACTAAGCTCACAGAATTCCACCGGCTGCTGCTCTGGCAAATGTACAGCGTGTTTACTGACAGAGACAAACAACTTACTTACACTTCAGTGTGAACAGGACTTCTCTCCTCTATCGTCCCCACCCGCCCAAAACTCTCTTTGAAGGTGAACTCTTCAAGAATAGCCACTGTTTTCACTGTAAATATGAGACTTGGGTGTTTATTAAATACAGAAATACTTAATAAGCAGTCTGCCTACTAAACACACAGTCTCCACAAAGAAAAGGCTGTCATTACGTAAGATTGGCACCTTGCCTCGACAATGCCACCTCTCAGAGGGCTCGCACATCAGGTCTCAGACAGGCAGCACGGGGATTATTTTCTCTTTATACGTAAATTCTTTAAAAAGGACTCAGAGAAGCTACTTAGCTGCTAAGGAGAGGGTCGGGGTACAAGTCTGTTCTTCTGATCCATCCTCTACCCTTTATGCTGTCCACGCAGCAGAAAAATAACTAGGAAATGCTCTATTTAACCACAGCAACCCAAACCTGAATAGAGATCTGGTCTTTCACTTTCTGGGAAACAACAGCTTTGTCTCTTTAAAAGTGTAATTACAAATAAGAATGATGAGAGGTGTGCTCTGTTTAAGATTACTACCCCCGCCCCCCAAAGCCCCCAGAATCAATGCTGGCATGAATGGCAGCACAGGCGGTGACCCCTCTCTACCTTGTCTGCACGAAGACTGGCTCCGGGGTGACTTTCTAACTGTGAGGCCCTGGGTGCTGGGCCAGCACCGTGACGTTGCTGCAGGTTCCCGGGCAGGAGACCTGGGGCCTAACCCCGGATTTGTTAATAATTACTTAGCCAACCTTAGGGAAATAATGTCACCTCCCCGAATCTCAGCTCCTGTCTTCAAAGTAAGAGTCTTTAAGTTCCATAAGGGCTACCATTATTTTAGGTGTTTATTTGGTGTCAGAGTAAAAGCCAACATCTTTACACCAGCCTGCAAGTTGGACGTCAGCAATCCAGGCATGCAGTGAGGGCCTGCGTGAAGGCAGTGGGGGGACCTAGAAAAATGGCAGATTCACCGGAGAAGACAGGCGGTGGGGACGAGGTGAGGGTGGGGGTGAAGTCAGGGTGGGGGTGAAGGGGTGTGCGGGAACGGAACAATCCAGTGACTAGTGAGAAAGTCAGTTCAGGAAGAAACCAGGTGCTTTGTTGTGTGCCTGTGACAGCGTGGGGTGGGGTGGGGCCAGAGTTTGTTTTGGATCAGCTGCGTGATCCTGCCACCAGCACCTGCCCCCATCCCCTCAGCCCTCATCGCCTAATCCCCTGCGCACTCTCTGTTCCACCAGCGTCCCCCTTGCTGTTCCTCACACGCCAGGCACATTCCCCGCTCAGAGCCCAAGCACTTCTGTTCCTCTGTTCGCAATGCTCTTCCCTGCAGGCCACTCAAACGCCTCCTTCTCCGTGGGCCTTCCCTGGCCACCTGCTAAAAGGCCACTTCCCTGCTGTATGTCTCTTCTTGGCACAGTCGCTGCTAACACACTATATTTGTTTAATTATTACATTTCTTTAACGTGTTTTTATGGCCTGTCTTCCCTATTAAAACAGCCCAGGGTTTTGTCTGTTCAATGCTCTGCCCTCAGCCCCACGAATGTGCCTGGTATGTAACAAGGAAACGGTAAGTATTTGTTTATGATTAATAAATTCTTTAGCGGTGACTGCATTTCACAGATTCACCTCTGATTGAGTTTCACAGTAAGTTCTCTTTCAGGCGCGGTAAATGCTGCAGCGTACAGCACAGCGAGACACTGAGGGGAATCAGTGCGTCCCCTCCTCATTTCTCCAGCTTCTATCATGACTTTACCAAGTCATCCCACTGTTTCAACGTTCTTCGTTCATTCACTACTTAGAGGCCATCATTTTATAATCTAAGTTCCAATAGAACTGATCCTGACTAAATGGTTAAGACAGCAGACAGTACAAAATTCAAGAGATAGAGAGCTGTGTGGAGGAGGACACGGCCGGCCCCCGGGGAGGGAGCACGTCAATCAATGGCCAACCCGGCTTCCTCCCTCTTCAATCCCCTACTGCTCTCCACTGGCCACCCAACAGCAGTCAGGTGGCCTGGGGGGCAGTTTGTGGAAATCGACCTTCGGGCACCAGGCAGGTGGGGTAGGTGGAGGGGGGTCTGGAAGGGAAGCGGGAGATGCGGTGACTCCCACACCCGCCTGGTCAGGGAGGGGCCGAGCGCGAGCCTCGCTAACGTCCCAAGCAGAGAACCAGCCGAGGGACAGGCCCGAGGAAGGATGGGGTTGGTCACGGCTGTGGAAGAGGAAGGTCGCTGGAGGCAGCACAGGGAAGGGCTCCCGATTCCAAAGGCAGTGATCCAGAGGCCCGATCACGCAGGACTTGGAAGGCCACGGTCCTCAACGTCGGTGTGGACAGAGCTGCTCAGCACGGATGCTGGGCCCAGCACAGAGTCTCTGATTCAGCAGATGGGGAGGGACTGCGTGTCTGCATTGCTGTGTGTGTGTGTGTGTTGTGTTTTTCTATAGATTCTGCATTTCCAATAAGCTCCCCTGAGACGCGGACGCTGCTGGTCCACAGACCACAAGCTGAGAACCGGTGTTCTAAGGCCCCAGCAAGAATCTGGATTCTAATCTAAGAGGCCATGGGGGCAAAGCACTAAGA